TAATTGCAAATAAACTTTTTAAACCAAAATCTATTTTATTTTGCTTCAACTGTTATGGTCTCAAAAAACTCAAAAGTTATATTTTTATTTTAAACTAAAGATTGTTAATGTCCCAAAACTATGTGTATTCCACCAATCAAAATCACCAGGTAAATTTGATTATTTATTATAATTTTGGTACTAATTTAGTAACTTAAACTTTCTGTTTATTTAAATATATTTTTGTTTTATGTGTACATAAAATTACATCATTTTGTTTTATATTTATAACCATAAAAGTTTGACCGACAATTCTTGTCAATCAAATGTGCTCAACCAAAAAACTTTTTCCAAAAGTTAATTGTTATTTCGACCATTAATTGTTATTTTCAGTACTACCACTACTAAATGTATTGTAAAGTATAGAAATTATAGCATCATATTGCAAGTAGAATTTAATTGTCACATCATCTAATAAAAAATGCTAATGCAATTTATATAATGTTAACAAAATTGAAACATTTAGATGAAATTTACATGAAATAACTTTACATAAAACAGTTATAAAGAACTTTACATGAAATAATTATAAATAAAAATACATGAAATAATTATAATGTAACATATATAATATATACATAAAAATTTTATGTATATGTAATATATACATAAAAATTTTTTTTTACATTTTCAAGTTCTAATAAGTTAATAAGTAATAAAAACTTACAAAGTGTGAAAACTTACCACTGGCTTTACTAGAAGTCTCCTCGTCCAATTGAGACTTAATTTCATCAACTACATCTTTTATCTGTATTGTCATTTTTTCCAATTCCCCTCCTTCTTCAGTATCATCATCATAGTATGTTTCCTAATGACAAAGGTAATTTGAAAATGCCACACTAATATATGTATGCATTTATACATATTTATACATATATCTGTATGTATACACAGTTATATATGTATGTATATATACATTTATGTATATTTATATGCACACACATATATATAATTCTATAAATAATATATATATATATATATATATATATATATATATATATATATATATATATATATATATATATATATATATATATATATATATATATATATATAAATAATTCTGTACAAGAAAAAAAATGCATTAAAAAAATCTAATCTTTTGGTTTGTTGTTAACCAGCAAAAATTTGTTCTCATAGCAACACTTGTTATATAGATAACAAATTGTTACTAGTTTTTCCAACCTTCCAAAAAAAAAAGAATTAATGAAAAGATTGCTGCCCTATGCCTAACCCTCAGTCGATGTATGGCACTTCTTTGTGACAGCAGGCTGTAAGATAGTTGATGTATGTAGCTATTTCAGTGTCATGTCAGAGATCTAAACATACATTCATTGCTCTACTCATTTTAATTTTTGGATTTGTGGTTGTTTTATAAAAACTTATTTTAATGATGGCATTTAAAACTAGCTCGGTTGTTTTATTCAACAGCCCTTCAGCATTTTTATTTAGCAAAATGATTAGATCATACAGAGTAAACTTTTTTTTTTTTTTTTTTTAAGGGCACTTTTTAGGATAAACATTTTAGGATAATGCATTTGAATGTTTTTTATTTGTAAACGATTGTTTATAATTTACCCATCTTTTTTTCCACAAGCTCTTGAGCAAATACTTTAGCAGTATGAGCAACAGTAATAGAAAAAAAAAGTTACCTCAGGACTGCAGTTGCTACACAAATACCCAATAAATTCATTTAAGCATTTATCACTTAGAGATCTCTGATAGGCATTAAGAGCAATCGCTTTCTGCATCAGCTGATTAGCTTGTGCATTGTCATATACCCTTTGAAATGTATCAGACATAAGAGCAACAAACAAATTCAACAACAAAATACTTGAACATGCTGTGTACATTACAATCAATGTTCGTGCCATAAATTTATCAATTGAAGCTACTGCTTTATAGTCAAAGTCACCTGATAGTGTAATTAGCCATACAGAATAAATAACATCATCAAGATTTTCCCAACCTGAAGATGATTCATTGTTTTCTATCATTTTAAAAGCATTTTCTTCACCGCCAAACATTAACCAAAATGCAATGACAAAAGGGAAAAAAAACTCCATAAAAAGAAAACAAAACTTGATTGTGTCTTTCATGATGTGACCAAGCATAACAATGAAAGGTCCTAAAATAAAAATTGTGTAAAAGTTTTTAAAACTGTTATCAATATGAAACCATCAAACTTAATAATTAAAGTTGTTTAAACGTGCCAAGAAACTGATAAACTTTGACAACTTTTAATAATCTCAGCCATATAACAGTCATTGAAAATGCAAGAATCTTTTTATGATATTTGGCGGCATTTTGATTTCCAGAAAGTGCAGCTATTCGAAAACAAACTCCTAATAAAATCCATAAGTATGCAATCCAGTCTAACAAATTCCACAAATCTTTGAAGTACAATACTTTTGACTTTTTTATGCGTTCAATTTCAAGAATGATGTAACTGCGCTCTTCAGGCCACTGAGGATGACAAAAATCAAGATCTCTTTGAACTTCATTAATCCTCCAGTTTTTCCATTTATTATGTTCACGAACTGAACAATGCCACTCATATATTTCCTAAAGCAATAAAAAAATTTAAAGCTCATAAACATGTTTGGAAAAAAATTTTTTATTTTTTCATAGATTTGTTTTTATTGGAGATTGCAAAAAAGATTTCAGCTTAAGTCAGAAAATCATTACTTATTCTTGATTTTTGGTATCAAGAAACTACAAAATTATTTTGACTGTAAATAAAAGACGGGATTTTTAAGTGTCTCAAAAAAATCAAAAAGAGAGACTTAAAATGCAGTCTTGAACTCATTTTTTTTTTTTAGAATTCTGGCATATTAGGGATTTAAAATTCATATTTAGTTTTTGAAAAAAAAGGTTGATTATTTGGTTTTTTGGCAAACATCGACATGTTAGCAAACATCGACATGTTGGCAAACATCGACATGTTGGCAAACATCGACATGAGTTCGGTTGAAAAGCATTAATCAGTAAAAAACAAAAAATTGTTGAGGTTGAGAGATAAAAACCTAGTCTAGCTAAAGTTACAGGTTTTTACAACTACTCTAACATTATTAGTATTTTAAAATGAATTCTCTAAACTAAACTTGCTAAATGCAGTATGATTAATCTACATAACAATATAATACAAATTTTGTAGGTACATGATCCCTTCATGATAGCAAGATTGTATATACAATAAAATTGGTAAGTTTTTCATGACAAATATAATTTTACATTCAACAAACATTTACAAGTTGTTTTTCATAATAACACTAGGAGTAAAAACTACCACTGCATTGATTAAAACTGATTTAAAAGAAGTACTAAAAGTCTTATCATACCACAAATTAGCATTTAATTCACCTTATTTGCAAAAACGGTTTATTCATAGTAAGACATCCAAAATACTTCAGTTACATTTTTTAAACTAATTTTCTCATAACTTAAGAAACTGTAAATTGTATAGAAACCATGACGTTTGCGGAAGAAAAAAAATTTAATGAATAAAAATTTTTAGAGCATGAAGAGACATACAGTAAAATATTGCAACTTTGCTAGTCAAGTTTGGTAGCTAGAGTAGATCCAACTCAGGTCTTGAGTTAAGTGTATTGCAATCACGATAGTATAGAATGTTTTTGTTTAAGCTTTTCATAAAGTACATAAATTACGCCATGCTAAACTTATCTTTTAAATAGTGGTATGGTTATTTGCTCTCTTGCATCAAGATTTTCTTTTAAAATGAAGAGCTTTTTAAATTGAAATTACTTTAAATGTCTGTGTGGGAGCCAATAACATCCTACTTCTATTTTAAAGTTAAATTTAGTTTAATTTACTTTATGGATAAAGTACATCACGGTAAATTTAATTATAAACTAAATCAAAATAACCAGTTAAGTTAGTACAGTTAAGTTACTCAAGTATTAAATTATACTTAAAAAACCACAAAAGTTTGTTTCTTTTTATATCTTATATGTTATTAACATATTATAAGCTTGTAACTAAATATTATTTTAAAAAGAAATCTCAAATAAAATATAAAAAACGCAATACCATTTTTTTTATATATTCGTTTTATTGGGGTTCAAAAAAAAATTTTTTTTGCGATTAGATTTTTTTTGGAGTAAATTCGAGCCCTGCAACTACGATATGTTTTTTCACCTTGTCTAAAAAAGAAAAGACATCATTTGAAGAACAAGCCCAAAACAGAAGAGAGATTAGATTCAAAGAAGCATATTCTATAAAATTAAAAATGTCTTTTTGTCAAAACTTAAATATATATTTAAAATAGATCAAAAACAACACAGGACCAAGGTTGGAAACTTATGGTACTCCAGAAGTTACTGGAAATAACGATGAGTGTTGCCTTGGAGGACAACTTTATTACTGTAGTTAGAAAGTAATATTTCCATATTCTCAAAAACTTTCCCAAATAAAACATATGAAGTAAGCTTATGGAGAAGACCGTCATGCTAAACTTTATCAAAAGTCATTAATGAGTTGAAAGTAATACCTGTTGACTCACCATCACCATTCTACTGGATGATAGAAGGTAAAAACCAGGGCTGTGTAGTCGGAGTCGCGACATTTTAGCGAAGTCGAAGTCGGAGTCGCTAAACAAAATCGCGACTTCGACTCTAATAGTAAAACTTTTCGGTATTGCATGTCTATGTACAAAACATTCAATTAACCTTATGTTCATACTTAACCTCAAAGAACGTTTCATAAATTTTTCAAAAAAGAAATCTTTAACTTATCACGTAATATTTTTTTAAGAATACAAATAATTTTTCAAAAATTTTGCTTTGGAGTTGGAGTCGGAGTTGTGCTCAAAAAACTTCAACAACTGGAGTCAGAGTCAGAGTTGTACTCAAAAAATTTCAACAGTTGGAGTCGGAGTCGTAACTTTTTTTTTTTACGACTCCACTCCCCAGATAAAAACCTTAGGGTAGAATAAGGCCTAATTTGAAACTGGAGAGAAGAAACAAAGCTTCAATGCCTGCAGAATCCATGAGATTATGTAAAAGGCAAAATTGTCAGCAAAGAGACAAAAGATATTAGCCCAAAGACCTTCACAAAGAAAATTACAAAAAGAATCCCAGTCAGATTTAAAATTTAACTCAGTTCTTTACTTTAAGTCAATAAAAAGTGTCATGATTAGTTGATAAAGTAAAAGATAAAAGTTTTACAGTCCAAACCACCTAAGGTAGAATAAAGTAGAAGGTAGAAAAAATTAGGATTACTTAGAGTACAGAAACTGAGTACAAGCTAGGATCTTAGTACTACCTAGGGTCATAGACAAGACACTAATCAAGGTGTGAAGATAAGTGATAAACAACTAAAAAAATAACTGATTAAAAAAAACATTGTATTACAAAAAATAGTTATAGTACTATTTGTTTTAATATATTAAAGAACCTATACTATTATATTTAAAATATAAAAATAACAGAATACTTATTACTTTTTCTTTTAGAAATCTGAGATAAAAATATTAGTGTTAACTTAAGGCATGCCAAAAGCCTGTTTAATATAACATGCTTTGTAATACAAATATATATTTTATCACACAATTTGGCTTGCTCAAATTTTGTTTTGTTACACTACTAAACTTTGCTCAACTTATGCAATACCACATAACTTCATAATAAATAACAAAACTATTTAATATTACCAATATCCATAAAAATTTCAGAATAAAGAGTGTAATCAACAAAAATCTAAACCAAAAAAATATATAATAATAACCTGTGTTATAAAAATGACTGTTAATAGAATAGTAGAAACCTCTAGCAACACTCTCCACCATATAAATTTAAATGAATTAGAATATTCAGATTTACTGTTGTATGGATGAGTGAATGCAAAGATGGACCATAGTGCAACAAACAAAATCTGAATCAAAAGATGTTGAAGATGTTTACGATTACCAAACTTCATCCATTTTACTTGAATCAAGCGATGAAAAACTATGTGTAACAGCAACTGCATTTGGTTGTTTAATGTCACAGCCTAAAAATTTTTTAATAATTACCTACTAAAAGGATCTTTAAACAGGATTAAAAAAAAAAACTGTAAAAAATGTGTTGGAATCAAAGTTATATTTAAAATTAATCTTGAAATGAATTTTAACATAAAGATAAATTAAGATATATAAGGACCAAATGACTGGAGTAATAAGCAAGTAAACAATAACTGCTGAATAAAAAATATTTATCAGTGATTGGGTGAAATATGAGAAGGTAATTAGAACTAAAACATGCTTAATAGAACTAACTTCTAAAGGACTCTTTGCAATCTTAGAGAAGGTTCCAGCTTGATCAGCCTCTAATAAATTAAGATAAAAATACTGTTTCCTATTTGCTCTATCTGTTTGATGGTATTGGTTTAAAGCTTTTTGTGCAACATGTGGCATCTTCTCTATCATCAAATATAATGTTGACAGACCACTTGAGTCATATGCAGACACATTTGCACCAACTTTCACAAGAAACTTTGCAGTTTCAGATCTATCTATGACACAAACAATAAGCAAGAATCAGAAACTAAAAAGGCTAAAATAATAAAACATTGTGAACTAATAAAACATAAAAAAAAAAAGCTTTTCTAGCAGTAAAGAAACAAAGTTTAAAAGTAGTAGGTTTTTAAATAAAGTTAAGGTGAAGTAGTACCTAATTCAGCTGCAACATGCAATGGAGTTCTATGTTTACTATCTAGGATTTCAATTTGACAACCAAATTTAATCAACAGCCTTAGCGACTCTACAGCATCATTTTTTGCAGCATAGTGAACTGGTGTTTGCATTTCACCAAATGTAAGCGCTTCTTTATTTGCTAAAATTTTATTATATAAATAGTATTTTTAAATGAATAATATTATCAATTCATCTCCATATTTAAAATAAATTACATATATACATTTCATATACAATTTTAATAAATAATATTTGTAAATAAAAAACTGTTAATTCACCTCCACATTCAATCAAAAACTTGACCATTTCTGGATAATCAACAGCAGACGCTACATGTAGAGGTGTCCGGCCATATTTATCTGCATGATTAATGTCACCTTTTAATAATAATATAAATTTAGCAACATCAGGATGCCAAATTCTTGAAGCTTCGTGTAAAATAGTTTGACCATACTTATCTGTTATATTAATATCGGCTCCATTTATAACAAAACTCTCAATAATTTTAAGGTCAATTTCTTGATTATTACAATCAAATGACATTTTAGAAAAATAGTTTAATAATTGTTTAGATTTCAGTGAACTCCTCTTTGTTATTCCATTACTGTTTTCAATATTTTCTAAGCATAGCCCACCACCACATTCACCGAGTGAAAACAAGCGCTGCTTTTCACTATACAAAACATGTTTTTTTAAATTAGACTGAATAGAACTACTAATTGATGATCTTTTTTTAGCAATAAAATCCAAAGAACTATTTTTATTTATGTTATCATCTTTTAATAAAACGGCATTTTCATTAATTGTATTTTGTGGCATAGCATGCATCAAATTATCTTGTTTCAAAATCAAGTCTTTATTCAATGGGTTGAGGGTATATTGTGAGTTTTGATCTGCAGGAAGTACTTTTCCTGTTTTTAATTTCATATTTAATGGTGAACATAATCTATATATTGTATTTGCACACTATCTATTCTAATCTAAAATTAATATTTCGGAAAATTTAAACTATATAAATGTATAATAAACTAAATAATAAAAAACATTTTTTACCAGCACAATGGATTTTAATGACAATTTATAAAAAATGATAATAACAATACTAAAATGCTGAAGCTTTGAGATAAATAATAAAATCTTGACTATGGCTATCGATGATTTGTTTTATAGCAAAGATGCTTTCATAAAATAATTTTCTTTTGCTATAACTTATTCTAAAAACAATTATAAAAATAAAGAAAATTCTACAGCTAGTAAACATTACTAATAAAAAATAAAAATTTACAAATAATAATTATTTGAAAAACTATAAAAACTAGAATGAATAATTTGAAAAGCAAATTGAGTAATAACAATTATTATGATGTTTCAAACTATAGGGGTGAAAAAATATTTTTTAAATGTTTTTTCTTCTATTCAAAACAACCTATTTGGAAAATGGCTAATAGCTTTAAATAATATTAATACTCATAAAAAATATAAAAAATAAGTTGATGAGATTTAAAGCCATTTTATAAACAACAACATCTAGTAGTTGACACTTAATTAGAGTTAAACACCACAGGATTTATTGCTGTCTTTAAATTAAAAAATATATATATTTAACTTTTATTTGTTTTTGATATAAAGTTTTATTTGTTGCTATTTTATATAGACTATATAGACGTTATATAGACTTTTGTGTATGACAAAAAAGCAACAATAAATGAAAAAAGCAACAAAAATTTATCAACAACTTTTATTTCCTTAATATACTGTACAATTTAAGAGTTCATTTTTTTTTAATCGAAATTTACTTTTAAAAAGATAGAAAACACTAAAAAAGATTTACGAGAAACAAAAAACAAATTAAGGTTTACATATAAAGTTCACAAAATATGACTTAATAGTGATAAATACTTATAAATAATAATATATTAAATAAACTTACTTATAAATATAATATACTAAATATAATAAAATAAAAAAATAAAAGCTGTGATATGTAACACTATTTGTTTTTCCTCTAACAACAGCAGAAATCATAGATTTTAAATATATTCAAGTTTTTACAGCTACAACTTTTTGTGATAAATGGTTGATAAAAAATATGTAAGCTTTATGATAAAAAATCATGTAAACTTTTTTTTTTTTTTTTTTTGAGATTGTAGTCTACATATTCTTTTAATATAGTTTTTTTTCCTAAATATTGGATTGTACTAATAAACAATCTAAGTTACTGATAAGTCTAAATAGCATATAGTATTATATCACCTTTTGATCTAGACAGCATATCTCCAAATATTTGAAGATGGATTTCCCTGATTTTTCCCTGATCCACTACCTGTTTTCCTTGATTTAATTTTAAGTTGCCTAAACTTAGTTTCAGAAAAAATAGACATATTTTCTTTAAAAAACGCTTTTTAATTGCAAATGTGTAAATATTAATAAAATGTAAATTCAAAGAACCAATCTGCCAAATACTTTTACAATATAATCTGCCAAAAAGTTTTACATTATGTGTACAATTTAAATCTTACATAGATTTAATGTAAGTTATGTTAGTTTGATGAAAAGATATTTTCTCTGATTTTTCCTTGATTTTTCTGAATTACATAGATTTAATGTATGTTATGTTAGTTTGATGAAAAGATATTTTCTCTGATTTTTCCTTGATTTTTCTGAATTACATAGATTTAATGTATGTTATGTTAGTTTGATGAAAAGATATTTTCTCTGATTTTTCCTTGATTTTTCTGAATTACATAGATTTAATGTATGTTATGTTAGTTTGATGAAAAGATATTTTCTCTGATTTTTCCTTGATTTTTCTGAATTTCAACCTTATTTACCTAATTATTCACTCATTTTTTTGCAGATATTTAAATTCCCTCACTTTTTCCTGATTTCCCTGATCTGGCAGACACCCTGCTAGGGGTCAAAAGGTGATGTAATTGTTGGGAATGAAAAAATTGAATTTGTAAAAATTGTTTCATATGATAAACCTTTTAAAATGTTGATACAATTGGCCCTATGTCAATCTTGTTCAATCATATTAATATGTTTTTCAAATGTGGATTCCATATTGGCTACATGTTACAGTTAAGGCTTAATTAATAATGTTAATAGTAACCTTACATTTCTTCCATGCTTATATTTAAAAAACTGTTTGGTTAAGACTTATTTTGGCTTGATTAACTCTGTAAATGTGATAACTCCAGTTTAAGTCATTTTTGACGATTTAGCGCTATATCAATCAATCAATGCATTTTTCTTAAAAGATAAATACTGTTTACAATATAGTATAAATATTACAATAATATTTTTGTGAAGGGACAATGCAAATATTACAAGACTAATTTAAAGCAGAGATCTTGAAATAAAATGAACAAATGAAAGAATAATCTAATGGTATAAATTTAAAATTAAAAAAAATAAATAAAAAACTAATAATAATAATATAACAGACAAACACAATACAGTGACTTAAGGTACAAAAATTAAAGTCATTTATATTAACAAAATTAATAACTGATTAAAATAATGAAATAGTAAATAATAGTTAATATATTAGTTATATATAATAGTTTTTAATAATAGTGCCAATAGTAGGAAAAAAATAAGTATTACTGAATTAAGACAAAAAATCTTGAATTAGAATGAGATAAAAGGATGAAGAAAAAATACTAACTAAATATATAATATAAATACTAACAAATATAAATATAATAATAAATGCTAAATATAGAAATAATAATTTAATGAAGTGTAGACATTAAGTATGGTAATGATATTATTTTATTTTTGGAGTACCTGTCAACATAGCTTTGGTTAATTTTACTTGATTTCAAGTTTTCAGTTTTTATAGAGTCGGGGAGATTGTTCAACTCAATAATGCATTGATGCTTGATAGAGTTTTTGCCATACTTTATTATGCGATTGTGTTCAACGAATATATTTGATAATTTTATAGGAATGTTTGCTACTGGTTTGGGAGAAGAAAGCATTTAGGAGTCTACCATGCAAGCAATCCTATACTAAGGTACAATTATATAACAAAAAAACATTGTCAAAACATTCGTTCTGAAAATGGGTAAATTTTAATAACTTTATTTTGAAGTAAAGAAATTTTTTTAAGGATTGATTTTTAGTTTGTCCCCAGATCTGACAAGTATATTGTATGTGAGATCTAAATATGGCATGATAAATAGTTGTTAAAGTTTCTTTTAAATGACTTTAGCCAACATAATTTCGACTGTAAATAAGAGTGATGGTATTTAAAAGTAAGATTTTCATCCAACACAATTCGAAGATATTAACTGATTTTAAAGAAGTTAATATCTCTCCAATTATACAAAAGTTTAGTTGTTTTTTAATTTTTTGAGTTTTTATTTTAAAGACTATTTGGGATTTTTTTAGCTTCTATGGAGGTTTTATAAGCTCCCAGCCAGTTAAGAATCAATGATATAGCTTCATTGGTTTTATTAGAAACTTTGTCAACAGAGTCTTCAATTATAAGTAAATCAGCATCATCATCAAAATGGTAAGTAGATTCATTATTGAGGCATGTGTTTAATTCACTAATGTATACCATGAGGCCCAAGGATAGATCTTTAAGGGATTCCAAAATTGACAGATTGGGTTGAGAAAGTAAATACATTTAAAGTTACAAATTGGAGTCTATGGTTTAATTAAGATTTAAACCAGTTCAGAGAAACTCCAATCTAATGTGATGAGAATGATATGATGGTTTACTGTGTTTTATCTTCAAAATTTCTATATTTTATCTTCAAATTATTCAGCATTAAGTACTCATTTTTTAATTTTTTTTTTTTTTATCATATGCATAACCTAGCATTTTCATTTTAATTTTTATAACTATTCCTTTACTCCAATGGACATTGCATATTCTTCAGATCTTGTAAATTTTCTATATATCATGATCAAATACAGATACAAACTTTGTACCATCCGCATAAAAGTTGTTGCAACTACTTCTATTTTTTGATATATGTAGCTGCTTGTGCAGACATTTTTCAAAAAAGGTTTTGCACCAGTTTAAAAAACAATCATCGACACCATATCCAGCTAATTTTACACGCTCGTAAAGAAGTATTAAAATTCTCAGTTATTATGATTAGTACAAAAAAGCGGTAAAAGTTTCCATGACCTCCTTTTTTAATTATTCAATATTATCAAATAATAGGAGCCATTTCAGCTTTCATACATCTGAATCTTCTATTTATTTTTAAAATTAACTTATGTCTATAGCGTTATAAACATAAAATTTGAAGAACACGTGTAGAGTTCGTAAGTTATGTTTACAAAATGTGACGTCATAAAAACTCCATTTTGCTGCGTTAATAAAAAATTCATGTTTTTTTCCTGTGATTTTATTCTCTGAAATAAAAATATTTTACCGTACTACAATTACTATACGTTCAAAATATTAAAGAATGGTTTTTAATTTTTATTTTCTATTTTATTATTGTAATGAACTTTTAAAACAAGCTGGTTCCAATTTTAAACAAACTTTAGCAACAATCTCCAGCTGCACAGTAGAGTGAGGTGCTTAGACCTCATTTGTGGCTAATTTGAACAACTAAAAAGGTGTGATAGCAAATATTAACAAGACAACTCTACAAATTTTCCAAAGTATTGCAAATTTTGAAATTTTTTGATTTTAGGTTTCGTTTGTAATGTTTTCAAATTAAACTTTAATATAAAGACGAGCTAGACGTACGTAAAGACAGCGATTTGGTCACTAAGATTGTTAGCTGCATTATGTTAGGTACAAGTTTACTATATTATGTTAGTTTACAAAATATACTTAAGAGCAATTTTTTGTTAGGCAGATTCCTGTAACTGTCAAAATGACTTCCAAATTTCTTGAGTTATTCATATATTGATCAGAATATAGAAAAAAAATATCAGAATATAGAATAAAAATCAAGATTAGAATATAGAATAAAAACTCTAAGGGAAAAAACAATTTCCTGACAGATTTTTTCAAATCAAAGGAGTTTATATTATGTTATATTATATATTATGCCCCCGTATTTGGTATAAAATGACTAACACAGATTTTTGCTCTTTCATTTCAGCTATATTTTAAAAGTCCATAAAACGTGTAAAATATGTCAATTTTTGAATGATTTATTAAAACTTTAATAAAAAGTAGTTTTAGTTGGCGGCCTAAAATATTTAATCTTTGATATATGTATTTTATGTTAAAATTTTATGTTAAATTTTATTTTGCTAAGAAGTAAAGACAAACACTATGATTCTGTATAACAAGCATTCATTTTTTATGGAAGTTATTTGATGTGAAAGCAAGTAGTAGAAAAATTATTTTAGTAATTTAATAATTATGTTTAATAGTGCAATTAAGTCAGCTGTATAAAACATATTTAGTGTTTTTTGAAACTTCACGATAAACTTTATGTTTAAAGAGAAATAAAGTAAAACCATAAAAGATTAATAAAATAAACTAGTTTTATAACAAAATATAAAAATAAAAAAAGTTCAGTGAAATGTAAATTTGCGTCATATTTGCATCATCGGTAAGAAAGTTTTGAAAGAAGGCATATTTGCGTCATATCTGCATCATCGGTAAGAAAGTTTTGAAAAGAGGCATAATTGCGTCATATTTGCATCATCGGTAAGAAAGTTTTGAAAGGAGGCATATTTGCATCATATGTAAAGAAGAAGGCATAAAATTCCTAGTTAAATGGTCTTTGCTCTACGACAAGAACAATAAGTCTTCTTGGGGCACCTAAAATAAAAAAAAATAAAAATAATTTCTTTATAAAACTTGTTTTGTCTATACCGTAAAAACGCTGAAGTTTGGTCACTTATGCTTTAAACATTCATATCTTAGACATAAATGAACATAATTTATATTTTTTTCTGAATTATGCATACAAATATATAGTTAATTCATATTGTAAAATATAAATAATAAAAATAAAAACTAGCATTTGATAATTTGTTTCAAATGAGAACAGCTAGTTTGACCGAACCTTCAATCCCATCCCTTAAGTTCGGTCACTATATATATATTCCAATCGTGACGTCGTAATATTACAAATTTAACTTCTCAATAAGACATCACAATAACATATACCACATTTCAAAAAAATATCGGATTATCATATTCAAATTTAATATCAAAAACTATGAAAACTACACCTTTTCATGATGTTATTGAGAACATAAAAATTTTAACTAAGAAATTGCAATATGTAATTGAAAAGCACAACATGTAGTTTGAAAAACACAACATGTTAAGGTGAGTTTCCACTCATCCGTTTTTTCACGGGAACGGGATAGGAAAGGAAAAAATAATCACGTGAGCATGCGTAGTTTTCCATCAGACATATTAAAACTTATACTACGCATGCCCACGTGATTATTTTTCCCGTCCCTTTTCCGTTCCCGTGAAAAAAACGGATGAGTGGGAACTCACAGCATGTACCTAATTAAGAAACCGCAATATGTAATTGAAAAACACAACATAAAATAAGAAATCGCAAAATGTACTTAAAAATACGTAAATTATAATTAAGAAACTGCTATATGTAAATGAGAATAAATAATTTGTATTTGTGAATTCACAGTTCAAGCTTATAGGTCATTAAAAAAAGGTCTTCTTTTCGAATATAACATTATCGATAAGAAAAGTGTTTTTTCGGATTTTGTAAAAACTTCCCAAAACTATCGAATAGCTAAAATAATTTCGAAAACTTATATTTAAGTTTGAAAAGTCAAATTAGTTTATAAATATTCGTAAATAGTAAAACATATTACAATAAAGTCTAATAAACCAGCAATAATGATAAAAGTTCAAAAATAGATAAAGATATTTTCAATTAAAAGAGATAATTTCTTTAATTTGGTTTTGAATGCACACTAGTTTAATTTGATTGAAATGTCAAAATTAGGTAAAACTATTTTGTTCCAAAAAAAGAGGTCCATGATAGGACATACAAAATTCGTCGTATTTAGTTTTGCAAAAGGGAGCATTAAGATTGTTTTCAATTCGTAAATAATATTTGTTTTTCGGTTTTAAAGAACAAAGGTATTGAAATACCTGTGGAAATTTTGTTTACACTTGAACTTACAGCATAAAATATTAAAAATATTAAGTTGATAAACGTTCAATGCTTTCATATCTTTAGGAAGTGGCTCATAGTGTGTTAGACGGTTTCTAAAATTAATTGCGCGAGCTGCGTAATTCTAATGATTAAAAAGAGTTTTAAATTTTGTCTTTTGAGTGCTTCCCCATATAATATTTGCATAGCTTATATGACAACTTATAGTACAATTGAGCTGTCTTATATGACAGCTTATAGTACAATTGAGTCAACTGCCGTTTATTTAGTATGTTTCTATCTTTATAGAAATACCGATGGATCTGGAAACCCTAGAAGAGATAATGTTTATGTGATGTTTCCAAGTTAAATTTTCATTAAAGCAGATTCCTAGAAATTTTGTTACTTTTTCTCTTTTTATCATTACATTGTCAATGTATAGTTCAAGTAACAAATGTGGTATTCTATGTTTTTTATAGAGTGAATAAAAAAGTATCCATTTAGTTTTAGCAGTGTTGAGATATAACCTATTTATTTTGAACCAATCAGAAACTTTTTTTAATTCATTTGTAATGTTGTTGAAAAGATATAAGATAGAAATAAATTTGTGTCGTCTGCAAAGATTATTTTTGTTAGGCTTGTAGTTTTATGAAGATCATTTAGATATATTATAAAGAGAAGAGGTCTAAGTATGGAGCCTTGTGGAACACCAAACGTTATATTCATTAACACTTGAGACAAGGGTTCTTTATTATAAAAATATTGCATACGATTTGTAAGATAGCTTTTTAACCAATTGAGGGTGTTATCTTTTATTCCATACGATGATAATTTTTTTGTTAGAATTTGATGATTGACGATATCAAAGGCTTTAGATAAGTCAATAAATACTCCTAATGTGAAGTGAGATTTTTTTAAAGATTCGGAGATGTTGCGTTTAAGTTGGAGTATAGCGTGTTCTGTTATATTGTTTTTTTTAAAAACCAAATTGGTTTTTTGTATAAAATTTTATTATTCATTAGATGGTCGTAAATTCGATTATACATTATTTTTTCTAGAATTTTTGAAAAGACTGAAAGAACTAAACTAGAGCGATAATTATTTATGTTTGTATGATCTCTTGTAGACAGGTAATACTTTAGCTATTTTTAGACAATCTGGAAACATTCCTTGACTGATGGGTGCTCTTAAGATTTTAAAAATAATGTGTTTTATAACATCACAAAAGTCTATTATAATATTCACATTAATATCATCATACCCAGTTTTTTTATTTTTAATAAACTAAAGCCAATTTCAAATTCATCATAAGTTTAGTAAAGTGAAAATTTGATGAAGTTGATGTTTGGAATTCAGCTAATTTATCGTCGATAGACGGAATACAACTTGCTAGTTTAGTTTCATTTGTTGCAAAAAATTTGTCATTACAATCAGAGATTAAACATTGGAGAATGAAATTAAATTATAATTTAACATGCATAATAAATAATTAACTCGGCAGATTTGCGTCAGCTGGTTTGAATTCGGCAAATTAAGTAGCAAAAAAATTAGCAAAAACCAACAAATTTTCTTTAAGAAATACTTTTGTATTTGCGAGGTCAAAGTTGTTTTGATGTTGATAATGCTGGTTTTCTGCTCTAAAAGAACGTTTTTTTGATGGTGCAGCGTGTGAGTTAACTGACATATAAGCAATTAAAGATGGTGGACGAGATTGAGTGATAGGCGAAATTATGTAAAGTTACCCTACTAACACTAAACTATTTAATTAAAATAAAAATCAATATTTAGCTTTTGAATTCCATCGTACATTTCAAATATATTATAGTTTGGAAAGACAAACTGCAGGTTCATTTGTCATTGCGTCATAATTAATTCATTGTGTTTTAATTAGACTCGTATTCTTTACATATTAAATCCATCTCTGTAAAATCATTCCGGAAGTATTTTTTAAATTTAATCCATGCACATTAGACGTGTATTAATTAAACTATTAAATAATAACAAGAAAGCATTAAATGTTTAAGAATTGAAGACCTCGGTGCAAAAACGATGTAACTCCATTTTTGAAAATTGTTCAGGAGAAAAAAAAAACGGAATACTTTTATGTGTAAGGAATACGTATTTTTCTACCAAATCATGTGTTTAATTATTCCAGAAGTGTTTTAATTTATGTCATTTTTATATTAACTGATAGAACTTCTTTTTTATACTCATATTCCATTGAAACCTAAAAATTGATAAAAAGTGGAGTTACATCGTTTTTGCACCGAGGTCTTCAATTACGCCAAACCTAATAAACGTTTTGTCGAACGTTTTTATAAAAAGTTTTTACTTATTGTCGTGTATGTTTTATAAGTTTCTTTAATAATGTTATCAGAGAGTTCAAGTTATCTAATTTAGTAATTGTAGTATTTTTAAATATTCGTTTGTTGCAAAGCATAGGACCACAATATTAAATAGTGAAACGTTATAGTTTCGCCTTTTTATTAGGGTTGTTCACTTATGCAAAAGAGTTTAACTCTATTTTTGTTTTAGTAAGTTTGAAATGATTTCTAATTACTTAATTTTTAACCGAAATGAATAACGCTAAACGAAATTCGCGAAATTATATCAATACATTTTTTAAGTATCGAAGTTCTAAAAATAGCTCCAAAATTATTTTTCGCTTTCGAAACTTTGAAAATTGTATCGAAATAAA